TCTTTCTTCTTCTCCTTTCTCTCTGGTCCCTCCCCTTCCATTTCTAATAATACAAGGAATATATGAATAAATTGCCACTGAAAAAAGCCTAAATCATAGCTGGGCATGGTGGCACATGCCTTTAATCCCAGCTACTCAAAAGGTTGAAGCAGGAGGATTGCAGTTTGAGGCCAGCCTGGACAACTCAGTGAGACCCTGTCTCAAAAAAGGAGGGTAGGCTGGGTGTAAACCTCAGGGGCTGAGAGTTTCTTGAGGATGTGCCTGGTCCTGGATTCAACCCCCAACACTGAGAAAGGTGAGCTTTCACCAAAATCCTCAATCTTTACACCCTTTCTGTGCAACAAATAACCTCCAGGCCTGAAGCAGGTGGATGGTTGCAAGTTCAAGGCCACCTGGGCTGCATAGTGAGTTCAAAGCCAGCCTGAACTACATAGCAGGACTGTCTCAAAAGACAGACAGACAGACAGACAAAAACTCCATTACCAGATTAATCCTTTCAGATCTGTTTCTTTGCCAAATATGTATGGAAGTATAATTACATGTACTATAGTTTTAAATTGTATACAATCAGCCCTCCATGTCTACAGATTCTACATGCAGTGTCAACCAACTATAGACCTTGCACATCCTCAAGAAACTCTCAGCCCCTGAGGTTTACACCCAGCCTACCCTCCTTTTTTGAGACAGGGTCTCACTGAGTTGTCCAGGCTGGCCTCAAACTGCAATCCTCCTGCTTCAACCTTTTGAGTAGCTGGGATTAAAGGCATGTGCCACCATGCCCAGCTATGATTTAGGCTTTTTTCAGTGGCAATTTATTCATATATTCCTTGTATTATTAGAAATGGAAGGGGAGGGACCAGAGAGAAAGGAGAAGAAGAAAGAATTAAGGTATGTGTATATATACATATATTGAGCTGGGGAAATAGCTTGGAGGTCTAAGTGCCTGTCTGGCAAGCACAAGGACCTGGCTCAATCCCCAGTACCACATGGTGTGCCAGCCACTGAAACCAGGCATGGTGGTGCAATGTCTATAATCCCAGCACTGGGAAGGCTGAGAGAGGAGGACAGGAGGATTACTACAAGTCCATACTGCATAGTGAGACCTTATACCAAATAAATAAATAAAACATTAAAAAAATCTTAAAAAAGATATGTATATATGCATATATATGTGTGCATATACCAACTCCCTAAAATGAATGTAATCATTATGCATTACAAACATGTACTAATAAAAACAAAAATTAAAAAATAAAAACAAATAGCTTGTAAAGATGCTAAGGTGTTATGTGTGTTTGTAGTGCTGACTGAGAAGAGATTCCAGAGATCTTGGCTGTCTTACCTGGAGAAGGCCTGCAAACTTGACCACTCCCCAGCCAAGCCGGGACACATCGGGCTCCACCAGACTCATCTGGTAAATGTCGACAGCCAGGAATCGCTGGACCATGCCGCCATCCTTGGTGATCACTGTGCATGCGATCAGGTCACTGTTATCTGGGAAAAGAGAACAAAAGCAGGATGAAGCCCAGTCTGGCCAGCTGGAGTCACAGGAATATCACAGCTGCCCCTTGTTCTGCTGGAAAACAGTTCAGGGTCAGTGCCTGCACTGAGTCACATGGAAATGCATCTGTGTCCCTTTTCAGCCAGTTTTACCAGAAAGTCTCTTTAGTTTTCTGTCCTCAGGGTCCTCCTCTGAAAAATGGGAGCAATGTACACTTCCAGAAATCACTATTCATTAGGACTGATCTAGAGAATAGAAACTATTAGGCAAATGCATACTGGACATAAGGTCCTCAAGCCATACCTTAAAAATGACTATTAGTTGGGGCTGAGAGTACAGCTTAGTGGTAGAGTATGTTCTTAGCATGCACAAAGCTCTGGGTTTGATAAATGACAGCAGATAAATGACAACAAACCAACAGCCAGGAATCCCAGGAATATGTCAGTGTTTACAGTGACTAACAGCAGTTTGCAGTGATGATGGTGCTCACCTAAATGAAGCAATTAATTGGCAACAGGAAGCTCCCTGTAACAGCACTGCCAAACTCCCACTTCAGTGTCTGACAACTCAGAGCCAGTCTCTGCACAGCATGACATAGGATCCTGGGCCAGGTACTTGGCTTCTCTGAATCCTGGTTTTCCTTCTGTGAAATGGGAAGGATGTCCCTGTCTTGCAACATTTTGTGCAGCAAGTGAAAATAGATAGGACAAGCATTTACCATTGAATGCTGGGCATAGAAAGTCCTCAGCATATGCTTGGTCTCTTCTCTTACTTGAAAGTTACCCCCAAATTTGATGTCTCATTTACCACCTGCTTTTGATGACTTTGAAGTCACTTGGGAAACAAAGGATCATCACACCTACAGTCTACTTTGAGCTCCGGCCAATGGAGTTGTCCACCACATACACTTTAAACACCCAAAAATGTTTAAATGTGTATGTCTATGTACTAAAAATGTCCCCAAATAGGGCAACAAATTGTGTATGACTTTTCCCATCAAATAAAAAATTATATACCCATGTAAAAAAAATCTGTGTAACAAGCTGTTAATAGGGGTGCCTGGAGCGAGGAAAGTGAGAATCCAGGATGTGAAGCTAATGTGTGTTGGGGAGGCTTTAATAGGAAAACTTTCATTATCATTTCATGTGCCATTCTGCTGCTTTGAACTATTTTACTGTAAAGTGTTCAAGATAATAATTTTGAAATGTGTATAAAAAAACTCTTCACCTTCAAAAATCACACATGAGAGCTGGGGATATAGTTCCATGAGTACTAGCTTAGTATCATAAGGCCTTAGGTTTATCCCTAATACCAAAGGGAAAAAAATTACAGACAAGTATAATGATAATGAAAATGTAATTTCAACTGAAAAAAACAGATGAAAAATTTAATACTATGTGTTTGATTTCTTTTGTTGTTGTTCTTGTTTG